TAGTTCTATATCGGACTCGGTGTATTTCTGTGTTTGATATGACATTCTGATGGTTCCAGTTGTGGACATGAAAATACTCAGTGGAATGTCGGGCACAACTTTGAACCACGATTGGCCAATAGGACGAATCTTATGATCATCGGTAGGTTGCATATCAAACTCCATAGCCAATGCTGATGCAAATTGTCTACTGTATCCATCTTCTGGAAGAGAATGTTGGAATGAGCTTAAGTCAACCGAGTGTCTGAAGACAGATTGAACATATTCCAAAGTCGTTTGCGTGCGGTTTAGCGAGACATGAAATGGTAATGTGTTTATCAAAGGTCCAATTGTATCATCCATCCCAGCTATCGATAAATTGCGACCGGAAAGAACAGTACCGAAGACTACGGTATCGGAATCAGCGTACATGGATAGTACCAGACCCCAAGCTGCTTGAAACCACGATGCCAATGAAATACCAGCTGATCTTGCAGCTTCGGCAATTTCTTCAGAGGGTATCGTAAATGAAACATCGGCATTCCGAGATGATTTGGAGGGTGACGATGGAACCGGAAGAGCTAGATCACCAACTGGCGATGGATGCAATTCCATTTGTTTTCTCCAAAAAGCTCTGCTTACATCTCGGTTCATCTGCTGATGTTTTTGTACTTCGTGAATAACATTCGAGAATGGTGTGCCGGGAACGATATTCTGACCCATCACAATCTTTCGAACTTTCTCGTATAATAGATTTGCAGAGTATCCATCAATAAATGCGTGATGCACTCTCCATATTATGGTGCTAACGCCAACATTTCCAGATCTTTGGGTTCTTGGAGTAAGAACTGTAAATGTAACCTCCATCTTCTCTGGCACAATCTCCTTTTCTAATTCTGATATATATGTATCGGTATCTTCAACAAAAATTTCATCCCAGATGAATGGTAATGGTTGTTTTGAATAAGTCGCTGTAACTCTATCGTGGTCGAATATCGTTCGGAAGACTGGTTCCGATTCTATAACTGTCTTCCAAGCCATTTTCATGATTGGGATGTTGGCAGAACTGTAAGTTTCATAGAAACTAATGATGTTGCTACCAGGCTGTCTTTGGTAGCTGTGCATAAATGAGTGTTGCATCTCTGTTAATGAAAGATTGGATGCGGATGTTGTATATCCATTGGATTGAACTGATTTAGAGAGTGACATGCGGCGTTCATGACTCAATCGTGTAGGGCTGACTAGTGTATTCAGATCACGAGTATTCTTCAGGATGTTTGTTGAAGGAGTAGATCGTGTTTCGGTAGCCGAATCGATAAGTTGTGTAAGAGTAGTACTTAAAAGAATGGAAGGTATTGATAAGACGAGACCATCTCTCTTGCAAGCTTTGGAGAACTTGATAGCCATTAATGAATGACCACCGAGACCAACAAAATTGGATTTCAGATCAACTTTTGATGTGGGAAGCTCGAGTATCGAGCATAAATGACTGAGAATAAGGGCTTCTTTCTTTGACGGTGTCATACTGGAAGTCTTTTCAACCATGTTTCGTTTCGTGTAACCATTGTTACCAATGATGTCAATGAATGGAGACATTGTAGATATTGATCTATGCTGTCGATGCTGAGTGAAGTGAAGTACAAACTAAGGAGGAGAAACCGGTCATACATAAAGAAATCATGATAATAGATTATCCAAAGAAAATATCTAGATGAAACATAGTTCCTCATCCGGCTCCGAGAAGTTGACGATATCTCGACTAAGATTTCTCCTCCGCTATTCTCATCAACACATACTGCAAGCACCAATCTTACATCACGGCTAGCGAAGCCCGAAAGGTAGCTTGTCAGGAGATTTTGAATTCACATCCTACACATCAGCTAGAACTGAGCTTTCAGTTGCAAACCCATGCCAATTGTGAGCAATTGGATATATGAAATTGCGTGATATGCTTCCACATACAATCTTACTCTTGTAAGACCCATGGTGTTGAACTTGCATGTTTGCATCTAGTATTGGATTTACAATCAGGCACGTTTACTATTCCTCTGTGACTATGGGTCAAAGGAAAAATTTCGGACGCCAGCATCCGCCTCATAAGGCTATGAGGCCACTAAATTCTAGATATTGATCTCGTATGATACTTTAGCTTGTATTCTCTGATCCATTCTTTGATCCATTTGTAAATTTAGGAATGATTAATGTAATGCCAAGCAAAGAAAATCTGGTGAAAGGGGACATGTTGTCAAAATTCGCTTGATTCCGAGCATCTCCGATGGATACACGGATATCCGAGTGTAACCTAAAGGGTTTCTTCAATATGTCTCCACATTCTTACTCGCAGGCTGATATAATAAATTTGTTTGATACTTAGTCATATTTAATTTTCAGCTTCCAGTGACCTTCTAGTGTGCGTAGGATTTAGTCTGTGCATTAATCCTTTCATCGCGTTCGTATATGGTGAGAAATAAGAAACGTTGTATTCTCGGCAAATATGCATGCGGGTTTCACGGGTCCGCCATTCCAATATTACAGTAGTACCGGATCCGAAAAAAACTCCTGTCAGCACGTTATGAGCACGTTTTCACAAACTGGAGGGGCTTCATTCTGCGCGGTGGATTATGTATTAATCCAGCTCATTTACCGTCAATTGTAGCATTTCAAATCATCATCTTCTTCTGACTTAAAAGTTCTGACACCATCCTCTGTCGATATCCAGATTTTTTAGGCTCAAAATTGTCACTTTAATTGATATGTCTTTTCCAAAAATTGCAGTCATAGGTGGTAAGTCACTGTTCTAGACTATGGTCTTCAAAAGAAGCTCTCGACTAACAAATCATAGCTGGCCCTGCCGGGTTAACCTTTGCTCGTCTAATTCAATATAATGGTATCCCATGTACCATATTTGAACTAGACAGTGATCGAAATGCACGAAGCCGAGGAGGCTCACTCGATATCCACGAAGGATCAGCTCAGGTTGCACTCCGGGAAGCTGGATTGTATGAGAAATTCTTGGCAGTTGCACGACCCGAGGGGGAAGTTCTCAAAATCTACGACCCTTATGGAAATCTCATCCTTGATGAGAGCAAAGATGTTGGTGAAAGCAGACCAGATTCTTTCAAAGGTCGTCCTGAAGTGGATCGAGTCCAGCTTCGTAATATGCTTTTAGATTCTCTTGAGCCTGGGAGCATCAAGTGGGGATATAAGTTACAAAGTGTTGAAACATCCGCCGATCCAACATCTCTTACATATGATTTAAACTTTCAGGATTCTGTCGAAAGAGGCTTTGATTTAGTTGTTGGAGCAGATGGTGCTTGGAGTAAAGTACGCCATATAATTTCCAACACGCGGCCACAATTTGCTGGAATCACAGGAGTGGAAGCAAAAGTTTTGAACATCGATCAAAAAGATCCAGCTCTCGCAAAACGAGTAGGCTTGGGTATGTGCCTCACCCTCGGCGACCACCAAACGGTACTATCGCAGCGTAACGGTGATGGATCTGTTCAAACTTATGGATTCTTCCGAAGACCAGAGGACTGGCAAGAAACATGCGGTATTGATTGGTCCGCGCCTGGTGTGGGACAGAAATTCGTAGATAAATATTACGAAGATTGGGACCAAGACGCGAAAGATTTAATTATCAAGAGTGATGAAGAAGCGATTCCAAGACCAATGTATATGCTTCCAATAGGACATAAGTGGCTTCACAGAGCAGGGTAAGATACCTTTTTTAAAACCCATCTCTCATTCAGCCTTTGACGGCCTTCCTTTTTTCCCCACCTCCAAAAACCAAACCAACTAGCTGACCATATTTTTAGTGCAACCCTATTAGGTGATGCAGCCCATCTCATGACTCCATTTGCAGGCGTAGGAGTAAATGTTGCCATGGAGGATGGAATGGAACTTGCAAGAGCTGTGATTGCTCGTAAACCAAATTGGGCAGGAAAGGAGAAGTTCGATGATGCTGCCGGTTTGTCCGAAGCTGTAAGAAAATATGAGTTGGCTATGTTTGATCGTGCTGAGGGATATGCAAAGGAAACTTGGATGTATCTTAACCTCTTCTTCAATGAAAGAGGAGGACATGCAATGGTTGAAAGTTTCGCGGAGCAAAAGAAGCAACAGAAAAAGGAAGCTGAGTCAAAGGTATTGGAAAAGGAGACTGTCAATATTGAGGTTGTAAGCGTTTAAATGTTTCTCTTGTTTCTCGGAGTTGTGATTGGAGTTTATGAGAATAGATAAAAGTCTAGGTCTCGTTATGTTGACTGTCCCGGATAATATCAATATCAATATCAATATCAGGACTTGGCGAATTCCAGTCTCCAAGACTCTTCAACTGAAAAATTGAAAGATGAGTTAGCTTCAGCTGTACCTCGGTTCAGGAATTAGTGTTTATGACGACGTCATAGTATTGCCGGATTTCCAATAGGCCGTACCACAGTCTGACACTCAGAAGCTTTCAATTTCTGAATCTAATCATAACATTCAACCGAGTTGAGATACAGAGTTAACCTCAAAATCTGACTTGTTTCCAGACATTGAGAGCAACAAGGACTACTAGAACTCGGTAATGTAACCACTTGGTGATTTAGACGTCAACGATTCTACTGTTATCCAATACCCACGTGGCACAGTCATCTTGTAGCCGAATTTCCTGTCTGGGGTAAACATCTCAAGACGAACCGAGATTAATGTAAGACCAAAATAGATGCAAGACGGGGCTGTTCATTGGATAATTCGAGAGAAAGAGCCGGGTCCGACCGGCTCCGGATTTCATAAGCATTAGGTAGGTATCTTGAGGAACAGAGCGAAATATATAACTGAAAGCATTGTTTGAAGGAGCTCAAGAGCAACCATGATTTCATATAAGGAAACAGAAATATCGTCTGTTATCTGCATTTCCAGCTCTCCCCCTCCCTCCTCATTATCACCTACTACATATTACACAACGTTTCTATCCTTCATTGAGATTGATAACAAATCAAGAAGACAAAAGTCAGCCGAAGGTTAACGTTTCATAAACTATGCAGCTTTTTGTAATCGGCGGTAGTGGAAGAACGGGTAAGATGGTAATCGAAGAGGCATTACTTCGAGGTACGTATATGCGTATATAGTAAGAATGCAGTAGCATACTAAGACATCAGCGATGTCGCCATTTCTTATGCTTCCGACCTCCGATAGCTGATATGACGATATTTAGGTCATGATGTGACAGCCTTGGTTCGAGACCCCTCCTCCATGGAAGCCAGGGATGGTTTGAAGCTTTTCAAAGGTAAGAAATATGATCTTATCCTCAAATTTCGAGACTAGGCACTGCATCCAAGCTAGATATTCAAAATGCCTTGACTCATTCTCATCAATACAGGTACCCCTCTCAATAAGGCTGATATCAAAGCTGCATTCGAAGCAAGTACCAATATCCCATCCGTTGTTATTGTTACTTTGAGCGCTCCTCGTACATCCGATAGCCCTTTCGCTGCATCTATTTCTCCACCGAGGCTTATGGCAGACTCAAATGCGAATATAATTTCTGTTATGAAGGAATTTGATGTACGCAAGATTGTTGTGATGCAGGCTTTCGGGGTAGGAGATAGCTGGCCGTATATGCACTTCTTACTTCGAATGTTGATGAAGAAGTCAAACATGTATCTGCAATATGATGATCACAACTTGGTGGATAAAGAGGTCAAGGCTAGTGATATCAACTATGTTCTCGCTCGACCAGCCAGACTGGAAGAGGGCGAAGCAAAGCCCGTTAAAGTGTATGGTAATAAAGGTATGGGAGTTGCCATGATGGCTAGTATCACACGAGAAAGCGTAGCCAACTGGCTTGTCAATGCAGCGGAGCAAAAAACGTGGGATTCGCAGACTCCTGTATTGGCGAACTAGAGTTATCGAGTGGACAGAGGGTGCGTTATTTGCTTGAAGGTTGAAGCGGCGTAATTAGCATTTTTGTCAGATGCCGAGCTTATCTTTTCTTCATGTCTATGGATGAGAAATGGCGTTATCAGTACGAAGTAGGCTGACGGTGGTACAGATGGGATGACTCCAAGCACTGGCCGTCGAGCCGATGCACAATATCTTATTCAGCGCGTACCTCTCATCTCTCATCTCTCATCAAGCGTTTTGATTTGTGATTATTCTTCAAACCTTGTGGATTGATTAATTAACCTATACGGGTATGCAGATGTATCAGCTCCACGTCCCTTAGGCCCACATGAATTAACTAACCATCGATATTTACCCATATTTACCCGCAAAATATGCTAGAGGCAACTACTAGGTATATAAATATAATATATCTGTGTTTATTGGTTGATCATGTTTTTTTTTTAATGGACACTGACATTATTCACGAACGTATTCCGTATAACGATGAATTTAATAGGCAGTCTCGCTTTTCAGCCCCTTCATTTCCTCCACACGCGAGCTTAGTGCTTTCACACCCACAACGACACAGGCCGAGACAGGATATCACCATTGTTCAAAGTCAGCTAGAGGAACTGGGTAGCTCGGAAAGTAAGAACGCGAAGGATGCTGCATTTACGTGAATAGGCTCACCATCCTGGTTAAAACTGCTCTTTCTAGGCCGCCTGCAAAGTTTCTACCCTTCTAGCCACTCGAGCCACTGCAGCCACCACTTTCGTGCTCGTCGCGAGTAAGCAATATATTATACAATTATGGAGTGCTAAACTCAAACAACCTTTTGCCTCCCTCCAATGCAAGAGTGAGCACAGTTCCCCGGTCGATCATACGACAGGCTATTACGCAAAGCTTACTGTACTGTACATATCTTATATTTTATTCCACACAGCATTTGTAAATGTCAGTCGTGGGGTTTCTTGCTTAGCTGTCACGAGAATCTGACTACTGATTTTTTTGCTCCAAGGGTTCATGCCTACTAATCTCATCTCATCCAAACGCAGTGAATACAAACAATTTAATCATCCGATTTCCCCTCTCTTGGTCAGATCTTTTCCAAATTGAGGTATCACGACTTGCACGAGGATTGGCAGCATTGCATTGTGTTGTACTCCGTACCTCCATTTGCCTTTTTATATTCGCAAGCACCAGACACAAAGCTTTAGAAAATGGAGGATACTCGATTCGATTCTTCTCGCAAACGGCCACGACCAGTTGTTTCTTGTTTAAGATGCCGTGAAAAGAAATTGAAATGCGATCGACTTTTACCGTGTCAAAATTGTACCAAGATACCTAATGGTTCAGCTGAATGTACCTACAATCACGACCCTACAAAATCCATTTCAAAATCCATTTCAAAATCCAGACCTTCAACACAGTCACCAGGAGATCGCACTCCTGATCTTAAATTCACACCAAACATAGGAAACAATCCGAACGTTATTCAGGTGAATTTTTTAATACATAACTTAATTACTGCAAATAACTTCAACAATGGCTAATACTGATTCCTTCACAGGGCAATGGTGGAGTCGGCGTTGTTGAGGAGCTTCAATCCCGTGTCGCAAGGCTTGAAGAGTTACTGCAAGTCACGGGAAAGTTATCGACCTTTCAAAAATTATCTTCACAGCCATCACCAACTCACAAAGTTTCAAAACGTACGAATGCTCCTCCAAGACTGATACCGGGACTCTGTACCTTGATCGTGAAAGGGTCGAGGAGTAGATATCATGGTCAAAATGATCGAATCACCTTGTTAAATCAGGCAAGTGTTCCATCTGGATCTATTCCTATTTGCCTTACTAGATTTATTGTTGTACTAACATCGTTCAAAGTTCCCCGAGGCAAAAGACTTCATAAACAAGAGTGCGACAAGCAACGCTTCCATCATCAATCTTGCTAAAGATGTTCAATATCTACAGCAAAAATCCCAGAGTCATTTCAGGATGCGAAAAGAGACCCTGAGCCAAGAAAGTGCTGCAGTCCTTTCGAAACTTCGAGAATTTCTTCCTGGGAAACCTGTTTGTGATAGATTATTGAAGATCTATACTGATAATTTCGAAAAGAGTTCAAGGATTCTTCATGTGCCCTCCTTCCTTCGGCTCTACTCACACTTTTGGACTTCCCCCGACGATAAAATATTCCAGTCCTCGCCATTTCTACCTCAATTGACAGCTATACTAGCGATCTGTTACAAGTTCCTTGATAGCGATTCGGGTTTTGATGATGACCAGAAAACATATTTGGAAATGGCATCACTCGAGCTTGTGGCGGCTTGGACTGATACTTTAAGTCGAAAGCAGGCAATTGATATATCAACTTTGCAAACCGAAACGCTGCTTTTACTTGCTCGACAACTACAACTTATCTCTTCAGATAAGCTCTGGTGTGCCACGGGGGCTTTAGTTCGTTCTGCCATGGTAATGGGACTTCACTTAAGACCGGCGGACTTCAAGAAGATTTCACCGTTTCATGCCGAGTTAAGGCGAAGACTTTGGGCAACAATTGTTCAAATGGATCTACAAGCATCCATGGCTGCGAGCATGCCCAGTATTGTTCCTGACATAGACTTTACTCAATTGGCTCCAGCAAATCTGAATGATGCGGATTTTGACGAATCTACAACTGAACTTCCTCCTTCGAGACCTCTAAATGAATGGACCGACTCTCTCGCCCAAGTCACATTAGCCATGTCGTTGGCGCAACAACTCAAGGTGGTTTCACTTATCAGAGATGTTAGTCCTAATATGGATCTCACAGAAGTTGTCCGAGAAGGAAGGAAATTGGAAGAACTTTTACGACGTGTTCCAGTACCACTCAAATTAGATGGAACACTTCAACGCTCTCCTTCTCATCTATTAGATTGTGTCTTATTAGATATATATCTGAGGAGACCTTTTCTCAATCTTTACAGGCTGCTTTTATGGGAAGAGCGACAAGACGATCCATTATTCCGAGAGATACAACAGATTTGTTTAGAATCTTCAGTTGCCATTGTTTCTTATCAAGATTACTTTGATCCCTCAGTGGCAGATTTGGATTTGTTGAGTACAAACTTGCATTGGACAATGTTCCAAATTTGCTGCAAGAACGACGTTTTAGCCGCCATCTTGAGCATTTGTCAATACATCAAAGCATCCGCATCAGGGTCTCAAAGCAATGAGCCTAGTCCAGGATTTACGCCCAATCAATTCCCAATGACCTTACCTAGCCCTCCAGCAACAAATACACATTTTTCAAAAGCCAGGCTTACTAGGATAGTAGAAGGTACACTAGAAGGCTTCACCAAGAGAGTAGGGGAATTTGGTAGTGATCTCAAAGATGTTCTCATTCTTTCTGTGGCCATGCAATCCGTACGAGCGAATGGTACATCAAATCTAAAAGAGAATTTGATGCATGAAGGTGCCAAGAAAGCATTATTAGCATGCAGGCAGACGCTGCTACAATCTTTTCCTGATGAAGAAATGAAACTTCCATCCAACAATCCAGAAATGAACGAGGTAGGCATTTTCTATTTGATTGTGCAAGCGGGAAAATCAGACTAATTCTTTTACAGGATAGTAAAAATAATATCAGAGCAACACCTGCAGTGGATATCCCAATGTCTACTGTAGACCAAGCCATATATACCTCCCAGCCAGGATATGTAGACCAGTCAATCACTTTTGCGGCTGAAGCGAATCAGGTAAATACTTTTCTAGTTAAATTTTTCGTTGGATTTTCGTGTGATCTATATAACATCAATGCTAATTCAAATGTTATCAATTTAGTTTCAGGGTGACATCTTTGATTTTTCAGATGCCAGCATATTTAATGTGGATAATGATTGGAGTTACAATGAATTTTGGCAATAAAAGTATTCAAAACATATTAGAATAGGAATGGAAAATATTCCTAGTTTACTATATTCCGCTTCCTGGCTATGTGAATATTTTCACTACTCTTTCAATATTTGAATCATTCTCTATTTTTCGTACAGATCCTATCTCAAGCACAGATCAAACACCATGGGGTCAAAGGAATTCTGATTGACAGATGATTTGTATATTCAAAGTGGCGTGAGAGACACCTGCCACGCCATAATTTTCAATGTCATACGGAACTCTATAAATTCAAAGTGGTTTTTGGGAATACAAGATACGCCACCAAAGAATGCAGCTTACTTGCCCAATCATGGAAGCGCCGATATCATAAAGCTCATCCTTTTCTTTTCACACACCTCAACTTCATATCCGGATGATTAATCCAAATCTCAGGATTTCTCTGCCACTCTTCGGTTTTCAACAATGATAAATCATACTCTCTTACCAAATGTACCAAGATGTTTCTTATCAAAGTATCTGCCACAAATTTTCCCATGCATTGTCTTGGACCAAATCCAAATCTCCAGAAGTTATATCGTGCTTGAGTTGCGGTTCTTTCCATAAAACGACTTGGACGGTATATGGCTTTATCATTCCCCCAGAATGAGTTGCGGATATTTAAAGCATATGAATCAATTACAAAATTTGTTCCAGCAGGAAACTCGTAGCCTCCGACAACTCTTGATGTGGGAATACTTTGCGGCACAGAAAATGCGGCGAGAGGGCGTAGTCGAGAAGCTTCGGACACACAAGCGGCGAGGAAGGTTGTACTACTCGACAGGTATTTCTCTAGCGTCAGACCATTTTCGTCGGCTTCTTTTTGGGCAGCTTGATATTCTGCTCGTAACTGATCCTGAACGGATATGTCAGATGCGAGGAAGACAAGGTTCCAGCTTACACCGCCAATTGTAACATCAAGATTTGCATATAGCATCTCGTCAAGAGTATGCAGCATTTCATTCTCGGTTAGTTCCCCCATTTCTTTTGCTGCGAATAAGCCTACGATGGGGGCGTCGAGACCTTGTTCCTTCGCTCTTCGGTAAGCGAATTCGTTGAATGCAATCCATCGTTCTTTAAACGCTGCAAGGTCCTTATTGGCTTGCGTAGGAAGGTAAGCTGACCATTCAAAACGGGTTAGCCCACCCGAGATAACGTGCTTGAAGAAGGATTCTCGGATCGGAGCGAGGGCACGGAGCTCGGATTCGACATCTGGAGCTAGCTTCCCGTAAACGACTTCCGCCACAATCAAAAATGGGAGAAGTTTCAAATCATCTGCTGGATCGATAAGTCCACGTGATAGATCTTTAAAATCCCAAAGTTCTTGGAAGAATGATGTTGTTCTTTGTTCAATCATGGGAACATATCTTGGAGTGGCGCTGCGATGGAATGGTTTTTCAACAATAGAGCGAACACGCTTCCATTGCTGACCACTGATCAACCCAACACATTGACCAAGTATTTGACCTAACAAATATCCGGAATTGTTGTTCACAGCTTTGAAATGTTTGTCTGAATCACTGAAGACAGCTTGAATATCAGCAGCTTGAGTGAGTACGCTATGATTTATATTAGAACTTGATTCTCATTGAATTTTGGGTCCTGGATGGGTTTTCGAAGGGTACACTCACATCTCTGGTTTGTGGCCTGACCAGATTTGATAAATCGAACCATATTTTGATCCCCATAATTCGCTGTTCTCTTTTCCATAGAGAAATTTCGCACCGTCGCCCTGACCATTGGGAAACTCATAATCGCAACCTGGAAGTCTATGTCCAAATTCGACATGCTTGACAGGATATCGAGATAATAAGTATAACTATTTCTCAGTCAGTCTCATACACATGACAAATAAAAAAACATCTGATGTTATGGGGGCGCAGCAACTTACGTTAAGAACCCTTGAAAGGAGATTATTACATGTCGCCGTCAAAGGCTTTCTGAAAATAAAACAGCCGCATAAGACAACGGCAATGACAAATTGCCCAGCAATAAGAGTATTTGGAAACATATTATCTGCTGAATGATCAATAGTGATGCTGAGAACACCAGGAAGGAGCAGACTTATATGCCATCTGTCATGATATTCTCAGTACCAAGAGAATATGGATATATCTAATCCGACGACACCGGAGCACGCAGACCGAAATCCGCTGCTTATCACTCTGAAATGGAGTCAGTATGATTATAATAAGCTACATAGTAAGATATTAATCCACATATCCGGTCGGTCGATTGATATCCGGTCACCGGATCCGACAAAAATGGTGTGACCCCTTCGCTTACTTGTCAGATGAAGAAGCACTAGCGATGCCATCCCCTGGCAAGACTCACAATTAGACGAAGTCACTCGTAAAATTGGATCCATTAGCTTTGAGGCTCAATCCTTCTAATCTTTCAAACACCTGCGTCTCGGTTAGATCTCCGAGTCATGCTGCATGCAGCGTCCGATCATTCTCACCATGCATCTCAACCACGTTTTCAGCCTTGCTACCATGCCTCCTAGAGTAAAATACGACGTACAAGTCTGTTCAGCACATGGCTTTCAGGGTTATCGTATTCCTAGCTCTCGGATTTCAGATTCAGCAGCCAATGAAAAGGTTGACATCTGTAAGGTACGATCAGGAAGGCAGTCATCCACGTGCAAACCGAGATCTCAGCCCCTGTTAAGCTGCTATCAGAGTGGCTTTGCTATCAGCAAGAACCTAAAGTGGGATACTGAACCAAGGATTTGGAATTGTAGGATCTATTTTGATGCACTCCAGACTTACATGGCTGTCATCCACGTCGGGCACAGTTCTGGAAAATCTAATTGTAGGATTCTCTGCCGTTTGAGTCTTGAGCTTGAGACAAGACTTTTCGGAGCCGCCAGTGAATGCTATGAAGTTGCGAGGTTTGGGAAGACTGATACAGTTCGTGGCTATGGGATTCTGGTGTTCAAAAGTGTATAAGAAGATATTGGTTTCCAGATGTCGAATTTATTTTCATCATCAACAACAACATCATCATCATCATCTCAAGCATCTACAGCATAATAACACAACAATATCATCAAAAAAACAATCTTCAGATAACCAACAGAATTCACTACAATCAATCGGTACTTCAAAAGTCTTCTACAAGCTACTTCTTTACAACACTTCAAACTTCAAATCATACAATCTTCACCAAAGTAGCAATCAAAACAACAATCAAAATGCGTTTCTCTATCCTCGCAATCACTCCTCTCATCGCTTCCGTTCTAGCTTTACCAGCTGCCACCACCGTAGACTCCCTATCTAAGTCTCGTCCCACCCCTTCCCCACCTAAGCTCCCTGTTTGCGGACCAACTCCTCGACCCTGCTCCTGCCCATCAGGCACCTACTATCAAGTCTCCACCTCCATCGCCATCATTCCCGCCTCCGCTTCCGATCTCAAATCCATCATCGGCGACTTCCTCGCAACCTCCTGGTTTGGAACTGCACCCGAATCCGTCACTGGTACCGGGTTCGCTCCCGGCGCAAAGCGCAACCTCTTAGGCGGTATTCCCGGTGCAGGTGTCTACCCCATCACCGAAGAACTCACCCAATGGAAACCCTATCCTAACAACGCTGGTTTCTTCCAGAAATTCCAAATGGCCGACGCGCCTTTCTACTTCAATTTGACGACTGGCGCGCCGGGGATTCTCGGAGGAACCTGGGATATCATGGATGTGCATGCGATTGGATCGAGTTCGAGCAGTTGGTTGTGGAATATCTATGCTTGTTTTAGTGTGGACTTTGATTTCCAGGAGTTTCATGAGAGTGCGATGAAGAATGTTAGTGCGATTTTGTCGAGTCAGGGGAAGGCGCGTGGGAATATGGTGGGGCCTTTCTCTTACTAAGTGGGAGTCGTTTGATGGGGTTTCATCTGGTTGGTGGAGGATTTATTCTTACTGTGCAATATTTAAGGGGATGAGTTTTGGTTAATTCTTTGAGGAGTGTTTGTTTATTTGTTTTCATTCTCGGTTTGTTGGGGAGAGGGGATTTTGCAGTTGCCTTTTTATACCTTCTTGCTTTGCTTTCTTTCTAGACGGCTTAGATCTTACTGCTCGCGCAGATTGTTTTGGGGAGTTTAATTGGAGACGTGGTTACAGAGATTTTCTTTTTAGATTTGGTGGTTTGTGTGTATTATTAGCTTTATTTGGAATTTATACCTATCTACTTTAAAACTATATTTCTATCTAAAATGTGATTTGTGGATCAGTCGACATCTAGGCTGTGATTTTTATGATTTTCAATGGCTACATGTATTTGGCTACTCTGGTTTCGAGGTCAGCTGGCAATTTGAATTGGAGAGGTGACTTCTATGTTGTAATTTTGCGGGGAAAACAAAGTAACATTGATCCAACTTGGAATACAACATGAGTTGATACTTTCTGGCATGTCAAAATTGACATCATCAATCTATACAACTTCTGATCTGCAGGGTTACACTAGTATATTGATGGTTGACTAGTGATTCTCTTGACGTGTATGTCATCTGCTACTCTCTGTGTTGTACAAACTCAGTCCGCCTCCAAGAAGCGACTGTATGTTATCTGCAGCCATTAGACTATGCACCTAAAACCGCCGAGGAAGAGAATCAAAGCCCTCCTTCCCCCTTTTACTGCCTTGGATGCTTAGCATCAGTAAGTCTCGCCTCTCCTGATGAGCCACTTGTCTCACATTGCTTCCACCATGATGTTCAAGGATTTTTGAGGCTAATAGTTCCATCATATAAATTTATCCCACACCCTATCGTAAATGCACGTTTTAACATAGTAGCACTAGCGTCAAAGAAAGTCGTGTATAAATCTCGGAGCTTATTTATCGCTTACGAGTTTACACTCGATTTAATAACTCGTTTTCAAAAGAAATCGTGATTTTTAATACCTTATCGATTTATTCAAATAGAAAATTCGAATTTCAATTGCTCTTGGTTTTATTGATACATTTTTAAATTAAAAAAATTCCTCAAAATAATGAATATTCTAATTAAAAGAATTGATAAATTAATCTTACAAATATTTTGAAATAAAAATTATTCAATTGAAAATGAGTAAAACAAATTTTGAAATTTGAAATTAAAAATAAATATATTTTCAAACTGTTTTTAAAATTTCGCTTCGAAAGTTCTAATTCAACTATCAACGATTTAAAATAATTCAAAATTATACTAATAATACATTTAATTATTCTCTATCATTTGATTATATCTTCAATTAAATTAGACCACCAATAATAAAGATATTATAGGTTGAAATAAGAAAATCTCATAATCAGATGTTTTTATTAAAGTATGGAAATTTAAGGTTTTGAAAACACGTTATTAAATTGAGTATAAGGGATAATTTCTCAAGTACCGAGGGAAGGCGGGGTAAGATGAAGATATCTTGGCACTCGTTGCAACGTTGTAGGTAACTTGTAGCTAGGATTCTTTTATATGACGGGTGTCATTATGTTTACCACGCTACGATAGAGCTTGGGTGATATGATTCCCCAAGATTTAAAATATGAGTAAGCTGACTTTTGTTGATGAACAATCGGATGACTGGCATGTATAATTATATTGTTTGTAATATGTCAAGTACCTAGTGCTCACGGCAGGACATATTTATTTGCCAACCCAATGCAACACTATCATGCACCTTTACGGATGTTGTGTTGGGTGAACATCATTCATCTAGTGCATACCAGCCAAGTTTCATCGGTGAACGATGAAAGATCCTCCTAAGTTGATTTGCCTCTTCTTGGCTAACTGCAAGACGAATTTTCAACTACGCCATAGGATTGTGGCTGCCATCCATAATCATTCGTAAATCCTTCTCGCATGATTAAAGCCTTTCTTACCATCTTATGATTTTCCAGCTGACCGGGAAATATCCACTTGCAAGGGTATTGAATAGGCTTCTGAACCTATTCCAGGCCGTCGCACCGCGGTAGCACCGATTGGTTTATGTAGACGACATACCATATTTAAACTGATGATCCATATATTCTAGAAGCTTTTGTGGTGGCTCACCTGGCAATGTGGCTTCATTGCAGATATACTGACATAGCAGTTGGTATCGGCCTAGGGGGAGTCATGCAATGCATGTGTGGTTGCGCAACGTATGTTGTGATCTCACTTGCAGACAAGGTTAGTAGATATATATTCGTCCGGCTATATTGAAATTGATCGGGGGATTATTCGGATATACAAAGGGGTAGCTGTGTGGTATCCGGTTGTATCCATACCTATCTGTGTTCGTCTAATTGACTATCAAGTAGCATAGATAGTCACTGAAAAGCTTCAATGTATATCACAAGCATATAAAGATATTGAATCCAAAACTCGCTGGCATTTAGCTCCGGATACAGATAATCGGGTTCTCAGTCTTCATGGCCTCGTAATACCCTCGATTGCTTAAATCTGAATTTGACAATTAAAAGTCTTGTCAGGCTCAATAGCACCATACCGCTTTCTACTGTGTGTCTTGACTTCAGACTTGGACAATCAAACATCCCATGAGACTTGGATGCATTTAAGAAAAGCCCATAAGTAGTACCAGACGTCTACACACAACCTGTTATTTGATTATCTGAAAGTAGAAGCAAACAATAGAGGTTATCATAAGCGTGTCCAGGCTTAACTGGCTATTCTGTGGTCGAGTCCAAATCCAGTAACGAAGAGCGTCGTTTATACAGCTTGCATGTGCCATCTTGATATCATAACAAAGATCAAGACATGAACTGCGCTGTTGAATACCTACTTGATTTGATATATCTGAGTGTCATTATCGCAAGCATTTGAGCCCTTCTTTAAAGTGACTCGCCGTCCTCAAATGATGAAGTAGTTCAAAGTATTTGATTCTACCTATAGGTTTTGGACAATGCGGGAAACTGGAGGTCCTTTGACATTCTTATTCTTAGTACAACTGACTTTTGATAAGTATATTCAAATACACTTCTCTACCGAAGGATGGGTGAGGATTGAAATTCTACATCACTTGATTGTTGAGAACCTCAACAGAAGGAGCGATATGTGCTGCAATTATCGCTTTTGAGCATATTCCTTTCACCTTAATCATAGTATATAGTCCTAAAATATCCCAATCGGTAAATTTAACTCAGAAAATCTTGATTCGGCTAGCTTACAAAATCGCACTTTCGTCCAATTTTGGATACAGAAATTTGATAATCGTCGTCGCTCTTGGTATTTTCTCCCACAATCATCAACATCATCACCACCAATAATTCTCCCAACTCTCAAAAGGGAAATTTCATACGCCTCTCCCATCAATCATACAATTTTGTCTAAATCATCAATTTGGTGATACAAGATGTCGCCAACTCCTGCTCCAAATCGAAAACGTCGAAGGGCATCCGACACGTCTTTCGATGGCGCACCTGCATCAAAACGAGCAAATGCTCAATCTCAACTCGATTCGGATGACTCAGATAAGGATACCGGGTCTATTCGATCAATTCAACCAATTCGTTCATCATCATCATGGTCTGCAGATGATGAAGTACTTCTTCAAAAAACGACCAAAGCAGAAGAAGTTCTTTGGAAAAGACGCTTGGAGATCCACAGCGTTACACCATACGAATAGATACCACATGGCGAATACGCTGATATTTCGACCAATCATGAGATAAATGGTAGTGATGGTTCAAAATTCAAAATACCAACTGGAGCGATTCCTTCATCACCAAGTTGACTTCTTTGGTCATATATATATGTCCAATTTTTTTATGGGAATATTCCACTTTTTCACCATGCCATCCGACTGGCCACATGGCACAGATTGGATCAACAACATCGCCCAGATCCGGGACATTATGCAAGTGATTCGAGCAAATCCAGTCTTTTGGGGGAGCTCGAGAATTCATTGGAATCCGAATTATTCACCATAAAATTCGGACAATGATCAATGAAAGAATTTCAGATATATTTTCGGACCATTGTTCATTCATTGGAAACATCAAAGATTGTGTTGGCAGATTCGCTAAGGTTAAGCCAAAAATCATACAACTGGGAGTTTCCAACCGAGATCTCGAAGCCATCGCCGATGCATGGAATCAATATGTTGAAGAACAAGATGATATCAAGATCGATCTCTTGCTGTCTTCGGCCAAGGAATATCGCAAGGTCTAAAATGCTAGAAGAAAGGCCTTCGAATCCCGAAATGACATCATTTCAATGGACAGAGACACCATATTGTCCATGAAGAAATCAGCAATTCTCGAATCTCGAGCTTCAGACCCTTCATCATCGCATCCAGAAGAGGACGAAGAAGAGGATAAAGAGAACGAAGACTCTCTCGCCAAAGAGCTACCCGCAAGGGTACAGCTTTTGTGGAGAGATGAGATGGTCTGATTGGATCTCACTCACTGCTCTATATGATACCTATAGGTTTGAGCATCAATGTTTTTCTTTTCCATGTTCATTATATTTCAGCCCATAGGCCACTATTTTTAAGCTTATAAGCCACTACCTAAGTATAGGTTTAACTCTATAGAGTCCTGTTATTTCTTTTGTCAAATGTAAGCCAATAGGCTGTAGTTTATTTGCAGATTTCATAGAGTCATTTTGCTTTTGTCATCGACTACAAGCCGATAGGCTGTAATTTATGTCCAGATTCTATAGAATCCTTTTTTTGTTTTGCTATCAACTACAAGCCCATAGGCTTCAATATATTCGCAGATTCTATAGAATCATTACTAGGACGGTAGGTCTATAGACCCTTTCATTTTTCATATATTCATTTTCTCGCTTTGAGATTAGTTCAACATTTTGTCTATAGACAAACTAGTACTTTATATAGATCAAGCTCAATAACGAAGATCTAACCAACCTCTATTTCCTCCTAACCTGCCATCAAGCGCCACTTCTTAGCTCTACAAGCAGAATGTGTCATTCTCACTGCACCTAAAGGTATTTACTTTTAGGAGTGGCGACGCATGATCAAAAGCGTTGAGTGTTGGATGTTATGAACTATTAAAGCTTTCTACCGATGATCAAGCTGTAGCAGAAAAATGTCTTATGGAAATAAGTCAAGTGAAACCGATGGTGTTATTTTGAATAGTAAGTGTTCAACGATCATTCGAAGCGTTCAACTCATCTCGATCATTCAGCCCATTTGAAACATTCAATATATTTCAAATATTCAATTTGTCTCGATCTATCAATCCATTTCAATCATTCAGTCCATCTCCGACATTCAATCCATTTCAATTAATCAATATACTCCAACCACTCAACCTATTGCAATCACTCAACTCACCTCAAACTTTCAATCCATCTCAAGCGTTCAATCCATTTCAAGCAGTGAACTCATCTCAATCATTCAAGCCATCTCAACGCATCAATCCATTTCAATCGTTCGAGGCACTTCAACCACTCAAGACACTTCAATCATTCAGTCCAAATCAGATATCCAATTCACCTTGATTCTTCAGCCTGTTTTAATTACTCAATATACCTCACTTACTCAGTGCATTTCAATTACTCAACCCATTGCAATCACTCACTCATCTCAAATCATCTCAATCACTCAAGTTTTTCAATCACTAAATATAGTTTAATCACTCGAGGCACTTCAATCATTCAATCCATCCCAACGTAACACCCTTTCTCAGCAATCCACCAAATGTAAAGTAACCAAACCATTCCCGAAACCAAATTCAAAATCCAAAATTCCCAAAACCATTCACCTACGCCCTTCCGATAGAGTCTCACCCCTCAATCGGACAATCTAAATATCTTCTCCATCTTGATTTGATACAGAAGAAGTATATGAGGTGTATCTATAGAGCCTAGTCGCAAGCATATAGGTGCATCCTTTCCGAACGACCTGGTACTCTCCCCCTTCTTTCTTCCCTACAATCACACCCATCAAATTAAACACGCAAACGTACAGCATACATTTCTCCCCATGCTAGCTCTTCTCGTAAATACCTATACAGTCTCGAGACAGTCTAGTTCCTATAAAGTAGAAGTCATCACAACGTTCACAATCTTTCTCATCCAATCACTCATCCAATCCAGCATCCAAACCAGTATCCAGCACTCAAAAAGCTCTCTCAAGTCCTCATAAACAATCATGACAAATGACATATCATAACAGAAGTATTACCAGGGAAATGTTTTTCCTCTTTACATTGAATATCATATCATATCATATCATACTTCTTATTCATACCCTACAAGTATATCTATTCCCTTCTTTTTCCTTTATTCCCTCCCCTTGAATCTCTTCGCCTCCCTTACCAAGAAAAAGCGTCGACACATATATACATACATATAGACCGACTCTTCACCCTCCACCCTCCATCCCAAACCTAGCTTCCCCTCGACCCCAACCCCAAACTCATCGAATGGTAGATTTTCTTCACCTTCACAGATAATCGTAATACCTTATCTTAACCGCAATACTCTATTATCCCCTTCATCCCAATCAATTCTAGTCCGTCCTCACTCCCCTATTTAATCCTACTCTACCCATCTCAGCTCTCTAGATTTCTTTCAATATCATTTCATTTCATTTCATTCTCTATCTATTTCCGTTATATTAAAAAATCAATTTTCACACCCAACCCAACCCAACCCATCTTGTTCTGTTTCATTCTATCTTATTCAATCCCTATCTTTTATCCTATCCTATTTCAATACCAATCCAATGCTACTCTATATCAATCCATTCTTTCCCATCCTTTCCCATCCTCTCCCATCCTCCCCTCTCCCTTTCTCCACTTCCCACCCAATTCATCTCATTCAGAATCGATCAATCCCATCCCACCCCTTCCCATCCATCCAATCTTAAACCCCCTATCCCAGTCCAATTCATCCTATCCTACCCTCTCCCTCTCCCTCTCCCTTCTATCCACCATCACCTCTCAATCCTATCCATCCTCCTCCAATCTCCATTCCACCCAACTCTATTCCTCCCTCTCCCTCCCTCCTACTCACCCCACCCAATCCCATCCAAATCTTCCAAAGTCCTCCTCCCTCACTCTTATTAATTTTATCATCACTTTTTCGCGCAACATTTAAATGCCCCTCCCTCCTTCCCATTCTTCCCATCCCTTTCTTCTATTCTCTTATTCTCTCATTCTCTCATTCTCTCATTTTCCCATTCTCTTATTCTCTCCTTTACCTTTGCTTTTCCTCTCCTCCTCTCCTCCTCTCCTCCTCTCATCCTCTCATCCTCTCATCCTCTTACATCATATATATATCATATAAACACTTATTCATACATCAATTCAATCATTCTTCAACCCTCCCTCCCCCATCACTCAATCATCCACACAAACAATCTGTATAAACCCCCAGAACTCAGAAACCAACCCCAAAGACCAAGAATCAAATATACCAAAAATAACCCGCCAAATCCTACATAAATATAAACATTTATAATTACACACAATAATACTCCAAATATATTATTTCATTCATTCATTCGTTCATTTATTCATTTGTATGTATATAGTGTAAGGTTATGGTCTATGAATCCATCCATACTATCCACACCACTATACCATCCACACCCATCCATTCATTCATCCATCATTCATCATCCATCATCAATTCATACACAACCCCGATTTCAATCCCCAGTTGGTTCCCCTCGCCAGAATCTAATATAATGCCATATCAAGAAAGGTAATAGCTCCCAATCTCTAATAACCATACATCATACATCATATCATCTATCAAACCCCCTCCCCCCCTCCCTAAAGATTTAACAACTCCAAATCCCCACTACACCACTCCTCCTTCCCTCAACCATATACCCATCCTTAACTCTACATTTCTCCACGATATTTTTCTCATCAGCTTCCGTCATATCTCCCTCTCTCTCAGAACCAAGACCACAATCCCAATGTCTACCATCTGTTTTATCATACACCTTGACCACATCTTCTCCAGCAGCCGCTACGATACGTCTTGTATCAAACATCATACTTGTAATAGGAGAATCATAAGCATATGCATCATAGATTGCTCCTGTTCGGAGATCCCAGATCTATTTGATTGTTAGTCAACGATACCAATAGTATTCTCAAAAATATGAAGAAACAAGAAAACAAGAAACCAAAACTCAGATAACATACCCTAATACTCCTATCCAAACTACCCGTGACCAAATGAACATCATCAAATTGCAAACAAGTAACAGGACCTGTATGTCCCACTAAACTTCTATGCACCTGACCACTTCTCAAATCCCATAGACGAACCATTCCATCAGCAGTACCACAAGCAAGTGCCGCATCAAAAACTTGTACCGCACCTACGAAATCCGCCGTTGCATCTGGTAAACGTCCAGTTTGTCGCCATGTACCTTCAGTAGAACCCATTGTTGCCGAAGCTTGTGCTGCTGCCCACATGACATCTAATGTTTGTACACATCTTCCTTTTTCTAAATCCCACTGTCTTAATGTTTTATCAGCCGAACCAGATATAAGAGTATCGCCACGGAAATGAAGAGCGGTTACTTCATCCACATGAGCTTCTAATGTGAATAATGGGCAATCCACCAACATTCCTTGTGGGATATGAATTGGTTGTTTTTCCTGTTCCAAAGCTTCACCAAATGCAAGATGATCTTCTTCCTCCTCCTCTTCTGCTTCTTCCTTGATTTTATCTTGAATTTCATAGCGAGCCTTACTTAAATCCCATAATCGAATTGTAGCATCCATAGAACCAGTCGCAACGATATTATCTTCTACCTGAAGAGTTCGTACCGATGCAGTATGTCCTTCAAGAAGTCCTATACATCTACCAGCATTCATATCCCATACTCGAACCGAATCATCCAAAGCCGAAGAAACCATGGTGCCAAATGGTACATCGAAATCGAGAGCGGTAACCATATCATCATGTGCTTGAATTTCTCGAATTGAAGACCCAGGTTCGAAATGTTCATGTAAGATTGGCATAGATTTTCTTCGAATCGTTTTATGTCTTCTTGATCCTTTCGATGAAGGTGTACTTGCCCTCGAGGGAAGTTTTTCGTAAATCGATTCAGACATAAATGATGAATCCATTCCTGCACTCTCAGCATCTTCTCCTTCATCAGTTCCAGCGATAGATTTTCCTAAAGCTTCCGCATCATCAATTTGTTCTTGAGCATCCTCCAATCGATTCTCCACATCTAGAACTATTCCAAAAAGTTAGTTATACCCCGCACTTTCAATATTCGCAAAAAAATATACTCACTCTCATGTTCCAACATTGACTCTTCCTGTTCCAATCCCGCCAACCTATCCAAAACAATTCTCCTCATAGAATTGAGATTTGCGATTTTGTTATCAATGCCATGAATCTCACTACTCGCCATATTCTTCCTGATCCCCATCATCTCCAATCGATGATTCAGAGCCGCTTTTTCTCTTTTCAACTTGGCAAGACTAGGTGGACCATCCCCCTCCGAACCCCCCTCACTAGCATTATCAAGAAGTTTCCTACCCCTCGAGATTCGCCTCTTATGCTTTTTTCCCTTCTCCTCACTCGTTTCCGGCAGCGTTGCTTGAAACCCTTGAAATAAAGAATAACTATTTTCATTATCGGGAATGTTCCTCAACAGTTCATCTGGCAAGAAGGTCAACGCCCTATATTGAATCTCCGAAGTCGACAACTTTGAGCGCACCAAATCGGTCGGGGTAGTTTTCGCAAAGGAGAAGACGCTGCGTTGAAGATTGGGTCTGCGAAGTTGTTTGTGTAAATCACTCATGGCATTTTGATAATGGGTGCTTGAGGTGGGATCGATAGGACCTATTAAATGGCCAGCGGTCGTGGTAACTTTTCGACCAAAAGCTTCTAACCCTCGGGTCTGATCGAGATAGATACCCATTAGCAAGCACAATTTAATGGGAGCATGAATAAAAATAGAGGAAATGAATAGAATATGCAGATAAGAAACAACAGTAGTCGAGCTAAGAGAAAATACAGCATAAACATACCGATATCAAAGCTCCATCTTCATCCTCTTCTGCCCCGTATGAAGAGGCATTGCGGCTACTGGAGCCAGCCATACAATTGACTTTTTCAACAGGACCTTATGTCAAGTTTCTGGTCAAGATTGATAATTCAATGCAGGACAATTGAAGAGCGGTCTTTGGTTGGTTCCCGTGGAATGTGTGTGTTGGCACAATTAAGTTGATTTTAGGAAAGAATTTTAGAAGTTTTTTAATTTGTTCATTGTGTTAAGATGTTTGGCAAGATACGGTACGGTACGGTACGATACGATACGAGACCGGCTTCAGACGTGGGGGGGGGGAGGGGGTATGATGAATGGATTTGGAGGTAGTTTGTTGGTAATTGACTAGGTAGGTATTAGGTAGTGAGACTGATGGAATGGAATTGATAGGTGGGAAGATGTGCATAAATGGATATCATAAGATTCTGGGCAGGCGAGGTAGGATGAAAGGTACCTTTGTGATAATGGTCGTAAGTAATAATAAGTAGGTATATTGTTCACGCTCAGGTCCTTTTCAATATTCAAATAGCTATCTATCTATAGCTGTACACCATATAGATACCTAGTATGTACAGTACAACACACCTAGGTAATTACATTATAGTACTTGTAACATACCGATACAATTATACATGATAGTACCAGGGTTTCCAATTGTAATCTTATACTTACACTCACTCACTCACTCACTCACTCCCTCCCTCCCCCCCTCCCTCACTCTCTACATCTCCGGATCCGAGGAGAATTCCAAGAAATACAAGCAAAGACATCAAACTCTATTTCTCTATTTCTTTCACACCTGTCTCACCCATCTTTTTCTGTACATAAAGTTGAGAGCGAACATCCGCTGCACTGCACTTCACTACTCGAGTAAACTCTTCGAATATTTTCTTCCAAATTCTTCGATTCCACCTACATACATACAGACTTCAAAACCTTCACATCAATCTACTCTCTCAACCCAATTCATATCCCAAATTCTTCAATTGGTATATAATAGTTACAAATTTCATCATGGATGCAGCGATCGATCTTTCAGATGCTTCTAAAGCTCTCGATTTGGCTAATATTCGTTTTCAACTGATGTATGTACTCATTCTCTCTCTATTTTCTCCATCTTCCCCTCCCCTCCCCTCCCCATCTCATCCCCTTCCAAACCACCAAACCCCAAGCTAACCTCCCCTCACCCCCAGCCGTCTCGAAGACACCATAACCTTCCACCTAATCGAACGAGTCCAATTTCCCCTCAACCCCACCATCTACATCCCCTCCGCCCTCCCCCTCCCCAACACCACCCTCAGTTTCCTCGACTGGCTCCTCCGCTCCCGCGAAACCCTCGACTCCCTAATCCGACGTTTCCAATCCCCCGACGAATACCCCTTCTTCCCCGACGCACTCCAACCGCCCATCCTGCAACCCCTCCACTACCCCGCCATCCTCCACCCCAACACCGTCAACGTCAACGCCCAGATCAAAGACCACTACATCCGCACCTTCCTCCCGAAAGCCTGTCTGCAAACGGGGCGTTCGGATCGCGGCGAACGCGAAGAAAACTACGGATCTGCTGCAACGTGCGATATCAACTGTTTGCAAGCGCTGTCCCGACGCATCCACTTTGGGAAATTCGTCGCAGAGTCCAAGTTTCGCGCCGAGCAAGAAGCATTTACGAAAATGATACTTGCGGGGGATCGAGAGGGATTGGGCCGCGCAATCACGAATGAAAAGGTGGAGTTGCAGGTGCTGGAGAGATTGAGATTGAAGGCGCGAACGTATGGCACGGATCCGAGTTTGAGTAATGGGAATGCGGGGGGTGAGGAACCGCAGGGGAAGATTAACGTGGAGGCGGTAGAGGGATTATATAGGGATTTCGTGATTCCGTTGACCAAGGTGGTGGAGGTGGAGTATTTGATGCAGAGATTGGAGAAGAAGGAGTAGATGTTTGGAGGGACGGTCTACTACTATATAGAAGATACGAGGATGGGGAGGGGGGTGTATAGATATTGATAGTTTTTGGGTCATGTTTTTGTCTGCAGATAGAGCATTGAGGGGGGTTCTTGCTTTGTCCTTCATGGAACAACTCTGATCCATAGAAGTACGGGAGAGGAAGTCCGGCATGAGGTGAATACCAATTGATGCAGAGAATGTTTTTTTATTAAATGTATACCCAAGCGAATACCAAAAAAAGGAGAAAGCAGACAGAAAATAGAAAATCAAAAGAAATACACAAAAGATTCCCAAGTCATACATGATATTAATATTGAATTTTACTTCTTTCTTCATTTCTTTCATATCTCTCAACCCCTCTTAATTAGGCGCACCCAAATATTCCCCCAAAGCTTTAACACATTCTTCCCACTTCGCCTTCTCAATCAAGATCAATTCTCCCACGGCTCTAATCCCCATTTCCTGAAAGGCCCGCTTACTGTCCGCCATGCCCTCGCCCTCATCCTTCTTATACTCAAACTCCTCATACGCACAGCTAAACCTCTTCAGCACCTCATCCTCGGGATGAAAATAAAACACCTCCGCACTCGACTTTCCCTTCCCCTTACTTTTCTTACTCTTCGGCCCCTGCTCCTCCCTATCCAACCTCGACTCCACCTCTCGATACCCCCTCGACACCACCAAATAATACTCAAAAGCATAGGGTTCCCGATCCTCCACCGCCGCCTCAATCTCATCCACCAACATGCCATACATGGGCGGCGCCACCTCCGACGGCACATTAATCAGCCTCTCCGCCAACACGACCCCCACATCCTCCGCTCCCCTCACCACCTGTTGAATCTTCCCTCCCGCCTTCGTCTGACTCTCCAAATATCCCTTCAACCCTTTCACCGCCTCGCTCAGCGCTCCTCCCTCCCGATTCCCTCGATGCACATTCAATACCGTCATAAATGCATACGCGTCCGTTCCCTCCCCATCCACTTTCACCGTGCTACCAATCGTATCCTGCTTGACGACCTCGTCGGCCAGTCCGCTCAAGTCCAACAATTGACTATCCACATCGAACAATTGTCGAATCAAGCTTTTGACGCCGTGGAAATCGATTTCCCGGAAATTAAACCATTCGAAATCGACATTGAGGATATCTTCGCCCTATGGTTGATTCGAGTTAGTCATGTCCAAGTATGTTTGATGATACTGAGGGGGAGAAAGAGTGCAGATGTGAAGAATTCGCATAATCCAATTCGAATGGCCAGTCCCAAATTCATATCCCCATCTGGCCTCCCCCCCCCCCCAATATCATCCTCTCAAAAGAAATCCATAAGGATCCCAAAACTCACATCACTTTCACTATCGTTCTCATTGTCCTCTCCTGCACTATGAACAGGCGCATCAGGAAGTTCTTCCGGATCGCGAACTCTTTTCTTAACCATTTTGATATCGTGAATATCTAGAAATGTTATATGACGTCTTTGCAATGGTAAAGTTTGATATGTGAAAGTCTTCAAAATCAAAGTCGAAGTCTGATAGTCGACCGCTTTGGCAGAATTATAAAATTTGGGGAAATACAGACGCTAGTAGCGGGGCATCATTCGGTTGATTCCCTCGTTTTTCAGGAGACAATACGGTTTATGCACGAGGCAATTCACAACATTCAATTCATTGAGAACATCATCCATGACAGCATTATTTGCACATTTTTTCCTCTTTCAAACTTCTTTTATTTTCATTACCTATAAAACGAACCTAATAGCCCATATAGGCAATCATTCAATCTTACTCCATTTAGACTCCTATTGAAAAGCCTGCTTCATCCCCAATAAATGAATCATCTTCAATAGTCACTATTATGCAAATCAAAAAATGCCTCCATCCTCCCAATTGTGTCGCCATTCGAATAGCTGTATAAACGAATTTGGGTATATGTAGCAAGAAAGAAAATGGTAGTAGTATCAATAATCTAACAACGTTCTTCCACAATCAAGCAGCAAAGAAATGATGCTATCATTAAAAAATTAATGCCAATCCATGAGCACATAAGCTCAAGATCGGTAATGTGTGAGGTGATACCGTCAGTAAAATCTAAAACGTAACGGGGCGTAGACTTTAAATCGAATGTGGATGAAGTGTCGGGTTGCGTGTGAATAGAGGATTGATTGATGTGCGTGTGTGAAGAAAGTCTTGTAATCCTCAACGCCTGTACTGATTGAAATACGATGATCGTGAAGCCGTGAAATTATTGATTAAGAATAATAAAATATGAAAAATGCCGTCATCATAGGCCTGGTGGACCACCAGAATCCGTCGAACCATCACCATCGATTGTTCTCCTCCAATGATCTGGAAGACAAACACAAACTAATGGGAAAGCTTTAATCTCGCCACTAACATTGGGAGAATCATTTCTTCGTCCAGATGTATCCGAGACTCCACTATCGCGTTGCACTTTATGCTTTTCGTCCCATTCATCGGCGCGCTCATCTATCATGACTCCAGTAGCCCATCCATCATCCCAAATACCAACAACCTTAAGCATATCACCACGTTCTAATGAAAATTCATCTCCGGCACGTGGTTGATAGGCCCATAAAGTTGCAACTTTGTCGCCAGGGTGAATTTCATCTTGGGAATAGTAATCCTTGAAGAATGGTAGTTGCTCGGATTGATTGCTAGCCACGCCGTGGGGTGATGACATACCATCAGTACCAGGAGTTTGAGGATCGTCAAGTCCGAGAGCTGAGCCACTAGAAAGAGAACCGGTTCGTCTATTTGGAGGTGGTCGTAGAATTCCACCTTGCATACCTGATCTAGGACTATCCCCAAAATCACTTGAAGAAGATTCATGATCATGTCTTCGTCCGGCAGCATAGCCAGCCGCACCTCCTAATACAGCGCCACCAATTGCTCCATCTCTGTCGCGTGGGGAAGAAGAATGTCCGGAATGAGAATGTCCTTCAAGTGCTGACATTCGGGCGATTCGTCCTCCAGGAAGTACTTCGTATCCTTCAGGGGTAGTATTAGAATTCACGGGATTATATGCCATTCCATTATTTCTGGCAGGTGTCGGTTGGTTTAGAATACTTCCATGCTGACTTCCACGTCGTTTACGCAAGCACATGAAAAAGATCAAGCCAACAAGTGCAGCCAAACCAAGTAACGATCCAATAACGATACCTGCGATAGCACCCTTGGAAAGTCGCTTCTTCGATGTTGAGGAGCTGGCAGCGGCGGCACCGGTGGAAGATGATGTTGGAGTCGACGTTCCTGAACTTGATGAGGCAGTACTTGTGGAGAAGGTGATAAATCCTGTAATCGTAGGCAATACTACACCAGCACAACGTGACTCTGCTCCTGAGTTATAACAGCAAGTATCTGTACTATTTTGTCCACCAGTGCTACAGTACTGACATAATCCGAATGTGCTATTACCATATCCACAATTATCTGGTTCATTAGTGGAACCTTCTACACAAGATCCAGTCAATGAATCTGATGGCAATGCGCAATTTGTAAAGTCAGCGCGGATTTGAGAGATAGCATTGCTTCCAGGACTGGAACAAAGTTGACTATCAGCAATTATTATCGATTCGCTCTCCGCAAATTGGGCCTATTCCTATCTGTCAACTTCAAGTCATACAAAAATTGAATCTGATAATAACTCACGCAAGAATCTGCACAAACTGGTGGTGCTTGGGTATCCGACAAACTGCATGATGATTTAGAATTCTGTATTATAGAATTACATATAACTGTGGTTGTATATCGAGCGTAAAGGTTTGATGTTTTTGTAAGATTTATATTTCCGCACCCGAGAAGTTGCTGGTACCTGCATGATCGTGTTAGACAAGCGTCGGCATATGTGAAGAAAATAATAGGGATGCATACTTTGACTGCACATAGCTTGTTTGAACGTATGCACTTAATTGAGTATCAAAAGTAGCGCGATCGGAAACATATGATAAAAATGGGCTAAATAGCATATAGTCAGTGTTGATCGATAAACGCTTGTTGGTAGGGCGAGGTCAAAACATACAAAAGTCCGGTCAAGTTTGTATCAATTGATGCGGAAGGAAATGCAGGACATTGAGTAGAATCTGAAAGAGAAATACAATCTGCAATTGCCCGAGGTACACATGCGAGAATTGATATCATGGTTGCCTTGGTAAAAGATCCGATCCACCTTTGGTTTCGTTTGCTCCGGTTGAGTCCTTTCCTGTCTTTCGATATTGCTTTCGCCATTGTTTGAGATGGGGATAGTTTCAATGGTTCGTCTGATGTGCTACTGTCGCAATGATGATTCTCATTGCTTGCTATCGAAACATAAGTTGTGGTGAAGGTGTAGTCGGAATCGTTTCCCAGATTTTGCTGGTTCATAATTTCTTCCTTTGGTCGTCCTTGCTCATGTGCAAGCATTCGAACCTTTTTGCGATGATATCCTTCTCTGTATTCCTAGAATCGACTCTTTCAATAACCTCAGCTCAATGAAAACAAAAAGTACCACCCAATATCCAAAGAGGCGATTGTTGAATTAACAGATTTTTGTAGAAAAGAAAAGAAAAAAGAAGTTCTTCCAAAAACGAATTGAAAATTCAAGAGAATGATTCTGTTTATTTTGGTAACGATTGAAGTTGAGTTGAGGTATGAACAAAATGAGTTGAACGAATGAATGATATTCACTGCAAGAATACGAAGAGGAGGAAGAAGCAGGACCAAAGGACCAAAAGATGGTTGAACCTTGATCAACCTCTTCTTTCCTTTAGTGACCGCCTCTTGGTTTGAGAGTGAAGAGAGGCCTTTGTATCGGAAGGAGTATTTAGGTTTGGGATATTCTCTACCCGAGGAAAGAAAAGGACCAGAGGGAAAAGAGCGGAAAGGGCCTGAAACTCAAGCAGCCGTGGACATACTAGGTAGGTGATAGGTGATTGAATGAAAGGAAAGTTTGGGCTTTTTGGTGTGTTGGCCGGAAAAATGTCTAAAAAAGGTTCGAA